TACTACTACTACTACTACTACTACTACTACTACAACTAGTACTACTAACACTGCTTTATTTATTGGAAGCACTTTAAAACAATCACAAAAGATAAAATCAAACAGATTTTTTGTATACTATATATTTGTATTGTGTGTGTATATATACTGTATATATATGTGTGGATTGGATAACGACGCACCAAAGAGGATCTCTACCTTACACTATAAATTAAAGGGAATCTGACAGATTTATGATCATATATTTTAGTTAATAATGAAATATTAAATAGTTATTTATTCTGACCACATCATACTGAATTTTTGTAAAAAAAAATTAACTAATTTTTTTTTACACCAAAATAATTTAGGAGGGCTTTAAAATACTTTAGGTGGGCTGGAGCCCCCCTAAAATAGGCCTAGTGACGCCACTGCCACAGATACCAACATGGTGTTGTAGACGTGAAATCAGAARGTTGTGTTCCAGTGAAAAGCAGCAGTTAAAGCAAGAAAAGCATCCTCTTGTCTGTGTTGAACAGTTACTAACAAACTGCTGGTTTGATTTATGTCRCCTCTGAGTCGGACCCATCTGCCGGCCCCCCTCAGTGGCCCTCTCTGTGGATTCAGTCTGCAGGTGAAGACGAGCAGAGGATAAAGGAGCGTATTTCCTCCTGGTTTTGTAGGAAAGCAAAGGTTGAGCTCTCTGGTCGTCTCAGTGAAATATTAAATGACGCTGAGCTCCAGGAGGAGCAGCAGAGATGAGAGCGAGGACAGGAAGTTAAACGTACAGAAGAACTGTTTCCCTCCACTCAGGCTGTTTGACCCACGCTGAGGGAAACACTGAGCATAAAGCAGCAGGTTCTGCTCAGAAACATGAAGTGGATCCTCTCTGGCCGGACTCCAGTGTTTCTAAATGTGAGGGAGCATGGAAACCAGATCTGAGCGTCACTGCAGGCTAACGGAACAACCAAAACATTACTGTGCACAAACACAAACACACGTTTGTCACAAAAAACAAATATTGTTTCTCTTTGGTCAGTGAAACTGACAGCATGAAGTCAAAATGAGTCACATTTTAAAACCTCCCAGGCGAAAAAAATATAAACTGAAGTATATTTTAAATATGCTGCATTTTACAGAAATATATTTTTAATATACTATTAATAGAATATACTTTTTAGGATTATATT